ACACTGAACTGTAAGTTTTGCTATTAAGGATTCCTGATAATAAACGTGATCTAAAAAATATTCCCAAGCGTGGAGTTAACTGGCTGCCCGAGCAGAACCTCATTGCCCGAGGCAGAACACCCCCCCCCCTTCACTAAACTAGGTGTGGCTATGGCCAGTGCGGGATGCATCCGGCCAGCAGGCTTTGAATTTGACAGCCCTGATCTAGAGTGACGGAACCTAGTCTTTATGACCTCAGCCATACTGCAAACTAGCTAATGGGCTGTTACAGATTAAATCAGTTCCTCATCATCAAAGGAATGAGACTAAAAACAATTTCCTCATCATCTAATTTCCTTTTCATTTCTGCCATTCTCTGTGAAGAAAATTATGTTTTTTATCAGCTTCTCCCAAACCAAGTAGAAATGTATGTGCCATAATACAAGTATATAAGTAAATTTCAAATATGTGTAAGGGTGATACGTTGAAATGTTTACAGATTTGTTAGTAAAAGTCCAAAAAATAGGAAGTATGCCATATACACACTTCAAGGTGTATTTTTCAGTCATTTTTGACTGCTAGAAACTATCCTTGCAGTTTTCAATAGTTTCCCATTCCAATATCTCCAGTAAAGATTATTTTGCTCCCCACATGACCACAATCTACCATCAGTCGTAAAGCTAATTGTCTGGAAAGAGTTTCTGAACATCCTTTTGTCCTGATGATAGAACCAATGTACCTGGGAGAGCCAAAATAAAATGACCCTGTCAAAAAGTTCTTAGAGAAAAGCCACAGAAAATGGATGAGTTAGATTAGAGGCAAAAATCTACCAAAAACTTACTTTTGTTGTTTAGAATAGAAGATTGAAGACAGTATCACAATTAGGCCAAGTGTTCCAAAGGCTATCGCCAAAGGCCAAGCAATTTGCAATTCTGGAACAAAAAAACAATTAAAAATGTGACATTTCTATCACTTTCCAGTTTTATTTGAGTTTCTTTGATCAACATTTTGCTGTTTCATGATTGTTTAGAAAATATCTGCATGTGATGTATAGATTTCCCACACATGGCATCTCCCTAGTAAGTCAACCAGGTCAGTCTTATTTAGTTCTCTGAACTTGGTCCAGATAAATTGGATTTCAATGCCTACAATTTTCCAATGGCTATGCTATCTGGGTATTGAAGTCTAACACCACTGGAACTCAAGCATGCTGTAAGCCATGGGTATCAAACTTGCCACGTCACGTTGCTGTCATTTGACATTCTGCAACATTTCCCCCATTTGCGGAGCTGGGGTGGGTGTGTCCTGTGTGTGAAGCATCCAGCCCATGGGCCATACGTTTAACACCCCTGCTATAAGCAATTTCCCTTTTGTACATGTACATGATGACATGATGCACAACAAAAGGGGTGGTATTTGTAGCACAATCATCTGCCTCTCTTTTCTCCTCCCTGTGGACACTTTTGACCCGAAGATAACCAGATTGGGAAAAGATGATCCAGTTGAATGCCACTAATAAACCAAGACATTTCGTCCCTACTGTAAGAAATAATACTATTTGCTGACTCATAGTCACCGAGGCTTTTCATTTTTTTTGTTTACAGAATTTGCTCAGAATTCAAATATTTTTAATTGCTATTTCTAGCTTTTCACATCTTGCAAATCTTGCCTCTGTTTTAAATCTCTTCTCTTTCTGCAAGGCTAGAACTTCAAATATTATCCTTATTTTGCTGGCTCGATCAGCAGCTTGCTTGCAGTAAGTAAATTCATTTCACATAACAGCAGTAATACCAACTCACCAAAGCATAGATATCAGATAATGAGATAATACTGGCTATTTAATAAAGGTCCTTAAGCTGTTCGGCTTCTAAAGTTTCAGTTTTCATAGTTTATTTTGTTTTTTCAAGTCAATTTTATGTTGCAGAGTGATACATCCAGGAGTGATTCAACAGGTGTAACTTTCACAATCTCTTCATTAGAAATATTCCTGAAGAATGTATACCTGATAACATCTACAAGTCTTCAGAGATGAAGGTGGTCTGTTTAATTAAACCAGAAGTAGATTCCCACGGGTTTGGACCGGTTCGTCCGAATCAGTAGTAACTTGGCGGCCTGGGTCGCTGGAACTGGCAGCAACCCAGGCCTGCCAGACTTCTAAACTGGTTCTCTCTTGGCCGCTATAGGGGGCGCTATCTTGTTTTTGCCTTCTGTTCATGTGCAGAACAATTTTTGTTGCACTGTGCATGCAACAAAAGTGAACCAGTAGCAGCAGCAGCTGGAACCCAGCCCTGAATTATACATGTGCCTCCCTATCCTGCAGATGAAAATTGGACATGGATACTGCTAGTCCATCCATTTCCTAAACAGTAATCCAAGTCTCCACTTCACTCCACAATCTCATCAGCCATAGTTCCACTAACAGAATATGGAAAGATGGCAAGTCCTCCTCCTCCTTCTCTGTGGCTTTTCATTCCAGGATTCAGAATGCTTTGTTATGCCAACAAATAATCTTATCTTCATGGAAATTAAGTTCTCTATTCAGAACTCCCAAAATATATTCTCAGGTGCTCTTGCAAGTTGGAATTTAAAAGTAATCTTGGAAGCACCATTGTGGGGAACAGGGTGGAGTGGCATCATTGTTTTTTGACATGTTTGTTTTATTTTTATTTATTTTTTGTTATACATCACCCAGAGTCTCTTCTTGTGAGGTGGATAACCATATAAATTTGATAGATTAGATAGGTAGGTAGGTAGGTAGGTAGGTAGGTAGGTAGGTAGGTAGGTAGGT